GTGGCGTAGCTCCGGGTGTGTTTCGCCCCGTTACGCTTTCGCCACAACCCCTCGCAGAGGTAGGCGTAGCTCCAGGTGTATTTCGCCCTGTTACGCTTACGCCCCTAGCCTCTGCGCCCACGCCAGCCGCTGCGCGATCGCTGATCGGGGTCAGCCGAGGGAGGCAGGGCCTCCTTGGCACGGCGCAGGTCCTCCAGCCCCTGCTCCCTGGTCTGGAAGAGCTTGCCCCTGGCCCCATGCTGCAGCAGCCTCTGCTTGACATGCTGCTGCTTGGTCTGGCAGGTCGATGATCCCCCTGCCGATGCCGAGCTCTCGTGACCCTCGTCCGCTGACCCTGGCGGGCGGCTGGCCGAGCTGGCTCCTCGAAAAACTGGTGTTCCTGTAGCCGTGAGGTCCAGGAGGGTGTCGCGCAGCGTGGCGTCTGACAGGCCTGCCGACGATGGCCCCGCAGATGCAGTGCTGTCCTTACCTTGTGATGGGGAGTTGGAGGCCACGCTGACCGGCTTGCCAGGGGCCGCTTGCTGCTGCCGCCTACCCTGCAGGCGGGCCTCGACGCCCGGGGAGGCGGAGACCGACTGGGCAACATCGCGGCGCCCGCTGCTCTCGAGGGCCAGGGCCTGCTCCAGCTTCTCCTGTCTGGCCAGGGCGGAGCCCTCGCCGTCTGCCTCTGGGGTCCCAGGCAGCCACCAGCGCGGGTCCACTGGCTGCGTTGGGGAGAGGACAACAGGCCCCCCACCCGAGGATCCCTGGTCCGAGGGCTGAGCTGTGGAGAGGCTGTCGTTCAACTCTCCCGTGGAGCCCTGCCCTGGCGGGAATTGGGCGGGAGCAGCCACTGAGCCCCAGTGAGCCTGCACCTGCTGCCAGTCAATGAAGCATTGCCCAGCTCCACTCGTCTGGTCAGGCATCCGTGCAGGCGCCTTCGCCGGTGGAGTTACCTCGATTGGGGAGTCGGCTACTGGAGTATCCGTCCCATTGGCTTCCTGCTGGCACGTCTGGGCAGGAGGGGTCTCACCCCAGGGTTTCCCTTCGTCTGAGTGGGTGGCATTCCTGGGAGCCATACCTGCCAGCGATTCCGCACTTGCCGAGTCTGGTGCGACCTGAGGTGGCCCCACCTTCCCCTGCGCTGCCTCTCGACTGCGGTGGATCCTGGCAGCGGCCTCCTGGAGCTCCTCCTGCTGCAGGGCCAATTCCTCTCGCTGGAACTGCTGTGCGATGGTCTCCTCCTCGAGAAGCAGGTCCGCATTGAGGACACGCGCCCTGATGTGGAGTTGCTCGGCCTCGGCTTCGGACAGAATCCTCTGCTCCATGCGCAACCTGTCGGCTTCCTGCAGGATGGCCATGGCTGCCTCCCGTTGCTGGCTGGCGTGTCGCTGCTGGGCGTGTCCAGCTGCCTGGGCTTGCTCCAAGGCTGCCTGCTCCGCGGCTTCCTGGGTGCTTCGAACCATCACCTGGCGGGCGGCGCGGGCTTCCACCTCCAGCTGTTCCATAGCTTGCTGGAACCTCCGGCGCGCATGAATCTCCAGCTCCTCGTACTTCCTCTGCTCCTCACAGGCCCGCTGTTGCTGTTGTTCGATGATGCGACAGTTCGCCTCGTCCAGCTCAGCTGCAGCTTGCTGGCGGGCGTCGAGGTGCGTGGCAACCGAGTCTGACTGTGCCTGGAGCTGGCTCGAGCGCTCTGCGAGGAACCTGCCTTGCTCTTGAAGTTCAGCCCGCTGGCGAAGAGCCTGCTCGTTGGTCTCCTCCAGCTGCATGGCCTCCTCCAAACGTGCTCTCAGGGCGTTCTCCAGCCGATAGTCGTGCACTTGGTGCTGCTGCGTAACCTGTGAGATGGCCATCTGCTGCGCCTCCATTCTGGTCCTCTGAGCGGTCTCGGTCTGGATGAATGCCTTCTGCTGCACCGCTAGCATGCGCTCGCGCTCCTCCAACTCCTGCTGCATACGCTTGACACCCCAGTTCTGCTCTTGGAACTCCTGCTGCATGCGCAGCTCCAAAGCCTGGCACTCATGCTGCATGCGTGCCGACAGCTCCAGCTGCTGGGCCTCCGCAGCCTGGGGGGGAGCAGGAGGGACCACGCGCTGCTGCTGGCACTGTGACTGGATGCTGTCCATGCGCTGGTTGAGCTGTCTGATGGCCTGGGCGACCTCCTGGTTGAAGAACTCGGACCTGCTGCTCGCCGCCGTCGCCATCTCCACCTGCTTGCTGGGCGAAGGCTGAGAGAGGTGTTCCTTCTTGACCGTGAGTAGCTGGCGGGACGTGCCTCTCGGCGTCTGCCCAGCGCCTGACGCAGCAGCTGGTCCTGGATCAGCCTGGGCGGCAGCCCCCGTGGCGGAGGTGCGCCAGGGCGCTCCCGTCGCCCACCCCTTGGGCGCCGCGGACGGCTGCGCGCTGGCCTGCGTGGGCTGCTCATCGGGCACATCGTCCTCCTCGGAGGTGAAACCAGGCTCCAGGTCCTGAGCCATCAGCTCCTGCTCTTGATCATATACCTTGGCGATCCTCACCTCCAGCAACATCGCTCTCTGGTGGAGCTGCTTTTGCTGCACGTGGATCGCGTTCAACTCTGTGTTCATGTCGAAGCGCAGCTTGGTCAACTCGGGCAGCTGCACTCCCTTGGGCTTCAGCATGAGTAGTGCCGTCTTCAGCATGCTGAGTTCCTGCTCTTCAAGTGCTGACTCCTTCTGTGCCCGCCTGTTTGCCTGCACCACGTCCAGCAGCCGCTTCGCCCTGGCCACCAGTGATGCCTTGAATGGCGCCCTCAGCGCGGCCTGCTCTGGCGCAGGCGGCTTCCTCCACTCCTTGAGGCTACGCGCCTCATCCAGTGTCAGGAAGCCCACGTCTTTGAAGATGGCGGCATGCTCCTGGCTGAACACCTGCTGCACCTTCTGCTTCTTGCCTGTCTTGCTGCCTGAGGCCTGACGACCTGCAGCTGGGGCTTGGCCTGTGGCTGTCCTCGGCGGTCTCCACTTGAATCCACATCTGCAGTGCCACATGCTGTTGGGGACGGGTGCCCCACAGCCGCCGCACTGCCACTTGTGCTTCGGCAGCGCCATCACCTCGGTCGAGTGCTGAGCCGAGTGGTGACTCCCCAGCAGCCGTGCCGCGTCCAGGACGCGCAGAAGTGTCCTGGCAGCGCTGCGGCGGGAGCGCTCCCGCCTGTGCCAGCCTCCGTCGGCCGGCGTTGCCAGGGGGGCGCCGCGAGGCGCGCGGCCGCGAATTGCGGCCCTCTCGGAGACAGGGAGGCGACGGTGGCCTCCGAGAGGGCGCCGCGCGGCGCGCTTGGGGCCCGGCCCCGAGGTCGGCCTGACCGCGAGCAGGACCGGGCGGCGGCGCCGATTGCCCGATCCGAGCCGATCGATCTGGCCCCAGACCTCTGAGGGCCAGAATGCCTTCTCCTCCTCCTCCTCCTCCTCCTCCTCCTTCTCCCTCTCCTCCTCCTCCTCTTCCTCCTCCTCCTCCTCCTCCTCCTCCTCCTCCTCCTCCTCCTCCTCCTCCTCCTCCTCTCCTCCTCCTCCTCCTCCTCCTCCTCCCATTCCTCCTCCTCCTCCTCCTCCTCCTCCTCCTCCTCCTCCTCCTCCTCCTCCTCCTCCCTCGTCACTCCCCTCGGCTCGAGCCCCGGGGCCCCGTACACCGGCGACGCGAGGTGCCGTCTCGGCCTATGTCTGGCGACGGCGGCCCGAGATGACGACGGAGAGTTTCCGCAAAGATGTCGCGAAGCGGCTGTCCGAGCTGCAGACAGCTGAGGACGATGCGGCGAAGGTGGAGGAGGGAGGAGCAGAAAGGGGGAGGTCGAGGGAAGACGAGGAGGGCCAGGACGAGAGAAAAAGTAGGATCAGGAGAAGGCGGAGGAGGAGGAGGAGGAGGAGGAGGAGGAGGAGGAGGACGACGACGAGAGGGAGGGAGCAGGAGGATGAGGAGGGAAGGGAAGGGATCAGAAGGAGGAGGACGAAGGGGAGGAGGAGGAACAGGGAAGGGGGAAGGAGACGGGGCGAGGAGGCGGGACGACTATTGCGAGGAGGAGGAGGAGGAGGAGGAGCAGGAGGAGGAAGCAGTTCTTTGGAGTGCTGTCGCCACCAGCCTCAGCCTCAGAGGAGCGGGGGAAGCGGACGAGGGCGAGGGATGAGGACGTGGAGGACGAGGACCGCTTGGGAAATGCGCGGACGGGCCGAGCGGCCGCCAGACCTGTGGCGCATCGCCTCGGGGGCCGACGCCGGCGACCGGCTCCTCTCCCGCGGTGCCCGTTGCCAGGGGGCCCCAGGGCCCGCCAACGAGTTCTGTTCGAGTGCGCCTGGGCAGCCCAGAGATCCAACGCACTGACATTACACCTGAGAGGACCCCAATCAGTGGATGATTTGAAAATTGGCACTCTGGATCTGGAGATCGATGGTGAGATCGATGATGAGATCGACAGTGGGATCGATAGTGAGGACGCTTGTAAGGTCGATCGTGAGACCGAGAGTGGAATCGATTCAATGAGATCGATCGTGAGATCGATCGCGAGATCGCTCATGCGATCTCTAGCGAGATCGCTTGTGAGATTGATAGTGAGATCGATTTTGGGATCGATGGTGAGATCGATCGAGAAGTCGGTAATGAGATCGATGGTGAGACCGATCGATAAGAAGATCGACCAGGACCCCAGGAACCCCAGAACCTCGCCGCCCTCCGAAATCGGCCTGGAACCCGGAACCGGGAACCCGGGAACCCTCAACCGGGAACCCGGGAACCCGGGAACCCAGCTGCCACCAAAATCGGCGGGAAATTCTCGCCAAATCCTTCAATTTCCGCTAGGACCCCTTCAGTGCAAGCACTGCTTGAGGAAAAATCAAGACGCCAGTTTTTCTCACATTTTGGCCCTTAGGGGCCCTCGCCGGGCCTCGGGGCCGTCAAAAAACGATTCAGGATGAAAAACCGGTCCTGGAATGGGTGGAGACTTCTGGGGACCCCGTATTGAAAAAATCACGACATCGGATTTTTGGGAGTGGTGGGTCGCCAGTGGCCCACAGGTGGAGTTCCCAGCGTCCCTCACCTCGAGCGACCGGAAGTACGTCCACAAGATAGCGGAGTCCTTCCGGCTGCCCACCAAGTCGCAGGGGGTCGGGGCCGAGAGGTTCCTGACCGTCTACAAGACGGCCCCCGAGGGCATGGAGCAGAAGCCAGAGAGGCCCTCCTTCGTGCCGGTCCTGAAGCTGTCGCCAGAGGCTCGGGCGGGTGGTAATGGGAGGTGGCCTAGATTGTCTCAGAAAAAGTTAAGCAAAGGGCCCTGGAGGGGCCCTTTGGGGCTTGTTTCGGAGCCAACAGGGGCTCCGAAGGGGCCCTCAGCCTAGAGGGCCCCTTTAAGGCCGTTTTCTCGGGCGAAGGAATCTATACAGATCCACGGCTCCCTCGCCAGGCCCATCCTAAATCCGGAAGCCGTGTATACGCCCTCCTGGCCGAGCCAGGGGGGCATACCGCTGCTGGGTTCAGGATGGGCCTGGCCAGGGAGCAGTGGACATGCATGGATCTCGTCGCCCTGTTTTCCTCACACCCGTTCACACCCGTCATGTGGGTTACCCCCCATGGCCCATGGCCCCCCTCCTCCTCCTCCTCCACCCTCCTCCTCCTCCTGCTCCTCCTCCTCCCCCTCCCTGCTCCTCCTCCTCCTCCTCCTCCTCCTCCTCCTCCTCCTCCTCCTCCTCCTCCTCCTCCTCCTCCTCCTCCTCCTCCTCCCCCCCTTGGAGGCGATGCAGAAGCTCTCCGACGCCGCCGCCGGCGCGCCCCCGGGGACGGGAAGGCCCACGCTGGCGGCGGTGCGCCCGATGTCCGGCAGGGCGCTGGCCGAGCCTCCGGCGGCGAAGCGGCAGAAGGTGAAGCCCGTGGAGGTCGGCGACGAGGCGCGGGGCGCCGACGACGACGACGACGACGACGACGACGACGACGACGACGACGACGACGACGACGGCGATGACGACGACGACGACGACGACGGCGATGACGACGACGACAATGACGGCGACGGCGATGACGATGACGATAATGACGACGACGACGACGACGACAATGACGAAGGGGCGCCGACCTGGAACCGGCGCCACGTCGCCACTGGACCCGCGATGTGGGCCTCCGATTGGCCGGAAAGCGCGCGCGCGTTTCTCCCTTGGGGCGGGGCGGGCGGTGGAGCCCTGCTCGGGGTGGGCAAAGAGGGGGTTGATGACTAGGCCCTGACTCCAGATCCGCCCTACTTTGGCTTTTCTTCCAAATTTCTGCACCCAATGTAAAATAGGGCGGAAATCCACAGAAGTAGGGCGGAAACAGCCACAGAAAAGTAGGGCGGAAATTGGCATCAGCGGGGCTTGAAAAGTAAGGCGGAAATGCCAAGCCCTACTTACGAATTTCCCCAAATTAGGGCGGATCCGGAGTCAGGGGGGGGAATCTCATGGCGTGGGTCATGATATTTCCTCGATTTCATGGCGCCTCTTCCCATCTCATTGCGTCCCAAGGCCCCCCCTGGGCCGCGCACTTGCCGCCGGTCATGGTTCGCACCCCCCCCCCTTTTGGACGCCTCCCTCTTGGCCGCCCCCGATCTGTCGATCGAAGAAGAGAGAGCAGCACAAACCTAAGCTTGTGGCGCTCCGCGCGGAGGTCTTGGATCTGCGCTGGGCCCCCCCCCCCGGCGGCGCCTCCGGCGCCGCCCCCAGCGCGCTCCGCGCGCCGGGGAGGGGGGTCCGGCCCGGATCCAAGAGATCCGCGCGGGCCTCCAACAGTTTAATGCTTATGTCTATGTTTATGTTTATGTTGTTTATGCTTATGTCTGTGTTTATGTTCCTGCGTTTTTGTTGTTTATGTTCATGTCTATGTTTATGTGCGTTTTTGTTGTTTATGTTTATGATTATATTATGTGTTTTTTTTGTTTATGCTTATGTCTATGCTTATGTGCTTGTTTTTGTTCCTCGCGCCGAGGGGGTGGGGGTAGGCTATGGGCCGCCTCGGAGGGGGAGGCTTCTCGGGGGGAGGCTGCTCCTCGGGAGGCGCTGGCCCGGCAGGGCTGATGTGAGGCCGGCGCCTCCGGAGAGGCAGGCCTCCCTCGGAGGAGCCTTGCCCCCTCCCCCTGCCCTCGGGGGTGGACCCAGACCTCCTCGAGTCATGAAAAAATCATGACGGGAGGTTTTCCGCCATTTTCGGCCTCGGGGGGCCCTCACCGGGCCTCGGGAGCGTCAGAAAACGGCTCGGGATGAAAAACCGGTCCCAGGGAATGGGTCTGGACCTCTGGGGGTCGGGTCATGAAAAAATCATGACGTCGGGGGTCTGGGGACAGACATCGGGCGTCTCGAAAAAATCGAGACACGGGTTTCTCATAGTTCTTGGCCTCTCGGGGCCCTCGCCGGGCCTCGGGACCGTCAAAACGCGGCTCGGGACGAGAAGCCGGTCCCAGGGAAGTGGTCGGGAGGTCGGGGGCCCGCGTCTCGAACAGATCGAGACGTCGGATGTCTGGGTGGACAGAGACCCCACCCCGACACGTCGATTCATGAATTGTCCATTTTCGGTTCTCGAGAGGGCGCCCCGGCCGTCATTTTCCAGGCTTGCGCCCGCCAGGTTTGGGCCCGAGGTCGTTTTCACCAGACCACGTTTTGCCCAACGGAGTTCTGTCCATCCCCGATACTCGGGGGTGGACAGAACCCCCAACAGTGACACGTCGATTAGTGAATCGTCCGTTTTCGGTTCTCGAGAGGGCGCCCTGGCCGTCATTTTCCAGGCTTGCGCCCACCAGGTTGGGGCCCGAGGTCGTTTTCACCGAACCACGTTCTGCCCAACCTAGTTCTGTCCATCCCCGATCCCCCCCTCTGCGCGCCGACGACGACAAGCAGTGATCAGGAGAAGAAAAAACACACAGACACAATTAATCCTCGATTCCCCAGAAAATATGGGAAAATATGGGAAGTGGGGGGGAAGACAGAAACCCAGAAAATCTGGGAAAATATGGGGATTGTTTTTATTTGTGTGTATTTATTTGTGTGTCCTGGGGCCCCTTCATATGACTCATCGCGGGCATCAGCCTTCGGAGGTCCGCGCGGGTATCTTGGGTCGGCGCGGCGGCGGGCGGTGCGCGCTGGGGTCGGGCGCCGGAGGCGCCGCCAGGAGGCTGCAGCGCCGTTCCCAGGAATCCGCGCGTTCCTTAAGTGTTTCGCAGCTTGCCTCAGGTTTTCCTTATGTCTTCGATCGGAGATCGAAGTTTTTACTTATGGAAAAAAGGGGCCTCGTTCCTTATTTAGGGTTCCTTAGGTCAACGCCCCGACTGTATCTTGGGTCGGCGCTGCGGCGGGCGGTGCGCGCTGGGGTCGGGCGCCGGAGGCGCCGCCAGGAGGCTGCAGCGCCGATCCCAGGAATCCGCGCGGGCCTCGGAAAGTGCCTGTTCTAGTCACTGCTTGTTCCTCGAAGTTCGGGGGCCCCCAAACGGTGCGGTGGCCACAGCGTGTGGTGGGTCAGGGGAGAGTCGCGATCCCCGCACGGTTTCGGGACCGAGGCCGTTCTCCCAGGACGTCTCAGGTGACTGGGGGCTCTGGGGTCCCGAAAGCGCGCGGTGACGGACCGTGTGGTGAGGTCTTTGGGGATTCCGAGGTCACGGCCTGTCACTGCCGCAAGAAGAACCTGCGCAACCCCCTCCCTCCAGGGAGAGAAGTTGCGTTTGCAGTGGCGTTACGGCAGGTGGCCGAAGGGGTTTGGGACATTGCTCGGGTCTTTGGGGCGATGAGAGAGAGGATCGCGACGCCAGGGGACTGGCCGGGCTCTGCTCACCCTCCTCGTCCATCCCTTTCCTCTCCTCTCCACTCATATCGGCGCCTTCATTCCCCCTCCTGCTTACCTCCCTCTCCCCTCCCTCTGCACATGCATCCTCCTCCCTCCGCTCCGGCCCTCCTCGTCCTCCTCTTTCTCCTCGTCCTCCTCGCTTGACTGCTCTTGGCTCGGATCTGTGGAGGGATTAGACTTAAGTCGGGCCTGACCCTCTACAGGGGGAATATCCAAAAATAGTCAAAAATAGTCAGGGGACGATTTTTTGGGGGATTATTTTTGAACATTTTTGGAGCATTTGTGGAGTATTTTTTTTTCGCGCGAAATCCCCCTGTAGGGGGACAGGCCCGACCCGAGATTCGACGTCCCATCCATCTGCCAGGCCTGGGAGCCTGCGAACCGCCACCCAGCTTTTCAGGGAAGCGGAGGTGCCCGTAGCAGTTCGGACGCCGCCTTTGCTCAGCAATGAGGAGGCGAAGGTGGCGGGGGCGATCGGCGCATTCTCAGCACGCGCCGTGGATGTGCACAGGGCGCCATGAGTGAATGATGGTCCCTCGTTTGAAGAGACCCAGGCCCTCTGATGCCCCTTGCGGACGCTCTGGATGATCCGCGCGTCCCATCGATGTCCTCGTTCGGTCTAGGCCTTGAGGTCCCTGTCCCGCTGGGTGACCACGCATCAAGGGATCATGGCAGGATGCGGCCATGCCAATACGCCCCCGTGCTTCAACGGATCATGTGAGCTCTCGATAGGCAGGGAAGGCCTTGAAGCAGACAGAGCCCTTGATGGCTGCGGTTCCATGGTGTATCCTCCGTGCCTTTGACCTTTGGGTTAGCGATAATTGGCTTCCAGAGGTGAGGAGGATGAGGAGGAAGAGAATGAGGAGGAGGAAGATGATGATGATGATGATGATGATGATGAGGAGGAGGAGGAGGAGGAGGAGGAGGAGGAGGAGGAGGAGGAGGGGAGGAGGAGGGGGAGAGGAGGGGGAGAAGGAGGAGGAGGAGGAGGAGGAGGAGGAGGAGTGCGTGTGTGTTTGTGGCCTCCGCGGTGCGTGCTGCTGCTCGCGCGCGGTCGGCGGCCCGTGCTCTTCGGACGAGAGGCCGCGCCACGCGCACGAGTCGGCGGCGCGCCCCGGGGGCGAGGCCGAGGGGGCGGGCCTTCTCGGAAGGCTCAGGAGGCTCAGAAGGCCTCCTCCTCCTCCTCCTCCTCCTCCCGTCCTCCTCCTCCTCTCCTCCTCCCTCCTTCCTCCTCCTCCTCCTCCTCCTCCTCCTCCTCCCTCCTCCTCCTCCCTCCGTAGCCATTTTGGCTCAAGGGCTTTGTCTTGGCGGGCTGAGCCCGCATAGGCAGAAACGGACACCGCTGACACCGCGGCAGTGCGAGGGCGCTTGCGCCCGATCAGTTTCTTTGCAGTGCTGGTTCGCCCCAGCAACTGCTTCTCCACGGGGCTCGGAGCTCCCGAGCCATCCCATGTCTTCGAAGGCGGCGAAGCGGCGGCAGAATGAGAGTGAGAACTGGGTCTGTCGTTTCTGCGTCCACGCTGTCACGAAGAAGCCCTGGTTCAACAAAGCAGGGGTCATGTACTGTCGCCAGTGCAGCCTGCACAAGTCCGTGTGCTTCAAAGAGAATCTCAAGCAGTCGGAGTCTCCAAGCACTTCTACTCGGTCTGCCACGCTCGAGGCCAAGTGTGCGGAGCTTCAAGAGCAAGTCAGACAGCTTCAAGCAGCAAGGCGTTCTTCTCCTGATTCAGGTACTGGGAACCCTCCTCCTTGGGCTGCTGATGCTAAGCAGTGTGACAAGCGCAGCAGGATCAAGTACCTGGAAGGTCTCATCAAGCAAGTGGCGAGTGGAGGCTTTTCCCAGGACGAGGAGCTGCTCAGACGGTACCGAGAAGAGAAGTCTGCCCTCGAGACGGCCTTGTTTGCTGACAGACCTGTTGAGGAGCAGGCTCGCAGTTTGGCAAACCGGCTTCAAAGTGCTCGGCATAAGGAAACGCAGCTGCAGAAGGCCCGCGATGAGCAGCAGAGCAAGATCAGCGAGCTCCAGAAGGTCTTGGAGAGCCTCGACACGCGTTTGGTTGAGGCCAAGGAGGAGGTCCTGCGGCTTGAA